GTACGACTACTTTTTTTGTCTATGTTGCCTGCAGCGAACACAGAAGGGATATAACTCGGCTGCTGTTTACACGGACACGTAATGAAAATCCCTGACATCGATATGGAGTGCAGGCCGATTCGATCCTCCTGCAATGATGCACCGATGACCACCAAGGGATCACTCCACCAGCGTACCACTTTCGCCTTCCTAAGGTGCTATCGGGGATAATATCTAATCGCATTGACTGCGAAAAAGGTTTTCTGAACTTTGACGTCCATCCCCACAGGGGGCCCAGATTTCACGCTCCTCTTTCAACACTACTTGTGGGCGATCAGTTTGTTTTCTTCGTCTCCAAGTTTCTCAATGTGACGGAGCCGAGCGCCCTCCGCCAAAAACACCTTCCGAAGTTGCTCCGCCTGCACGCCATTAGAGAAGCACTGGCGAAGACGTTGTCCATTCAAGCGGAAGCAAGGGAACTGTCTCACCCTTCTTCGAAAGTCATCAGGGAAACAGAAAATATATGCAGCCAATCCCCCACAATGTCTCTTGCACGGTGTGGACACATATCGTGCATAAAACAGGGCTGGGCTGGTACACGAGCGACTTTGTCTGGAAATATCTATAGGCAGGCGATGCAAACTATGTACCGTGAACCATGCCGTGCTGGATCCAACACCATTTCATTCGCAAAATTTGCACGGGATACAAGTGCGGGTACCGTGTCATGCCAGTGCAAGAGCCGTTACATTTGCACGTCGTCACCATGGACCTCGACGGGACGGGTATAACGCGCCCATCACACTGACTGGAACACCTTCACCACAGGTGACTGACGCGCTGCTCGGAAGCGAGTAGGAAACAGGCCGCGGTGTGCTGCAGTTGTACAGCATATGTAACGAAACTCCAGTGAATGCATTCACTCCTTCACTTCTGTATGTCCACGTGTTGAATAATTGATACTACTAGCGGACCCGCGTTTCTTGAGGCCAACTGAATGCGAAGGGTCGACCCTGGTCGAACGCGTTGTGCATGCACCGCTCATGCTTGCACTACCGTTTGGCCAATTCTTCTTGCCGTGCTGCTCATTATTTCATTATTTCCACTCTCTCTACCTTGCTTGACAGATTTATTCATGGATTCGTCCTGGATAGAGAAGCGGCTGGAGGAGAGAAGCCTCGCTCTCGACATGTGAGTTATTCTTCCGCGTGAGGCTCTGTCTTTACGGATGGACCGTGTTTGTTGCAAATGTGATATGTGGGCAACCCGGCCCGAGACGACGCGTTCGGCTTATCTCTGTTCCGGGAAATATTGAGCAAACCACTCACATCGAATCCGTCCGTGTTTTCCTGCCCGCCAGGCGCAAATTCTGCAGGCTCCACCGAGTACCGTTGCGGTGCTTCCGCTGCCCGGACGAGCCGAAATTTCGAGACGTGGAATCCTTAAAAGCTCACAACCGTATGGGCACCGCCCCGGTGCCGACGGGAGGACGCCATGACCCCGCGGCCCTCGTCGCAAGCCGAGATTCTCCGATATGAACTCGACGCGGCATGAACCGCCACAACACCGACGAAGTTGTTGGCAAATCGTACCATATATTGGAACGTGTGACGCCTCTACTGGCTTGCGTGTTGTGAATGTCCAAAACGCGTGATGACATGACTTGTTCGGATTGGTGTGCGGGTGTGTCTCTGGCGAAGGTTGACAAGATTGTTGGGTACAGATGAGGGAAGCATGCCGCAAAGAACGATAGAATTTTCCATCAATTCCTCCACGAAAGAGCTTACGTCATGTTGGGAAGTTTGCGAAGGATATCTACTGTACTGTAGCGCAAAAAATGTTTCGGGAATGAGCTGGCAAACGTATTTGAGGATTTAGATGTTTAGGTGGAACATAGGATTTAGAAGGTGCTCGGAGTTCATCTTCCCGCGGAAGGATAAACAGGGGACAGGATCTAGTAGCCCCGCTTGAGCAATGGATCGGTCCCTGCTGCTGTCAGCCCTCCACCTTACCCAAGGCAACAGGAACAGCTGTTGTTCCGCACGAGTTAATACCAAGCGAGTTCTTCACTGGTCTTCCTGACGCACCACACGTTTATACGTTTGCACTTGGCGTCGTCGGCAGGACCGCCACGCGTGCATACATACCTTTACGAAAGTGGGTTTCTTGGAGATACACGAAACTATTAGGATAATAGGCATGCCGAGAGTTACAACCTCGCTGCGAATGGTTACATGGTTTGATAGCATGTTCCGCTTCGCATATCGTTTCCTTCCCCACCTGCGTCGCTCCACCCTCCATCGCTCGTTGCCGAAGCCAACGCTGCACTGCGCCATGCCCTCCCGCTTCCACCAGAGTTTCTGGCTACCAATAGCGCGCTTGCCCCCCACCCAACGTTCTCTCCAAGAACTTCCAGCGATACCTCTCCGCACCAAATACTCCCGTCACGCGTATCCCAAGCCTTTCCCCACGCACCCCACGCCATTCCGTCTCACTCCCATTCCAACTACTGGCCAACACGATTGGTTACCCCCACGAAACGTAATCGCGACGTCTCTCCAGCTGCACGGCCGCACCGATATTCACTCCTAACCATTATGTTGGCCGATGACTTCATTGCAACTGCTTCACTTGACACACCTCCTGTTGCACAACGAACAAGGCAAGCACCCCTGTGGGCGATGGACATGCCATTGTCGTAGCTGCTGAAGCCAGCGCGACCATCAATCTGCTGCTTCTTTAAGACTCCCCTCATTCAGTTGGGGGTTCAATATGTTGGTGTCGTTTTCAGTGGGGAAAGGCCCCCTCTGTCGTTCGGGGGTCCAAGGATAAGGGATGAACACGGGAAAGGGCTCCTCGCCTCGTTTCCTGTGGTTTCACAACAGCTTACGAAGGTTGCCCTCGCCGCGATTGAGCGAAGATCCATGTACGCGTTTCGATATAGGTGTTGTCGCAAGTATAAATACCCGGATCTATCAAATCTCCTTCCCGAAATATTTATTTCTCCCTGCCGCTTATCGCTACTCGCACCTGCCTTCTCTCTCTCCATCCTGTGCAACAATGGTCTATCATGTTGTGGTCATATCGACGGGCTCGACGTGACATCATTATAGAGATCGAGCACCTATGGAGAGGTTGAGAGAGTACTGACCCCCCTTGGCTACACATACACTCCAAGACGGTGTGGATGAAGGCTTCGTGTAGTAGTTCACTGTCGGAATCGCTAGGCGTAAACTGAACCCGTGTCAAAGCGTGTGTTTGCAACTTTGGATCTTTCTGCATTCGCACGGATGAGCAAACGGCACATACATGTCATACTGCAAGCCATCGTGACCCGCACTTTTCTCCCGCTCTAAATATACGTACGTGCTCAAGTTCGCAGATAGACTGCCATTCCAGCACCAACTGCAGCTCACGGGACGCATCCTTCGTGTGCTAGGTTGTGCGTTCTCATCTCTTCATTACACACCAATTTTCACAATTCACTCAACAAAATTGGACGGCGAACAGTTATCACATTCGACAGCGCTGTGGACACTGCCCACCTCTTGAATGAGCTTCCCTATACTACTACTGTGGCCCCCGAACAAACGCCACATCCTTACTTCCATAGTCTAAAGATTTAATGTTGACCTTCACTGAAATATCTTCACCCCCATCTACTGTAGGAATAATATGCAAAAATGCCTTGCTCTCTTTCATCACCATCGATCAGCAACCCTCACTCTAAATCTTCACTCCGGTACACAATGACAGGGGGAAGCATCTCTCAAACTATGTACGTGGGAGTGTGTCCCTTGAGATAGTGCTATGATCGGCCATTGGGAATGATGATCGACGATGGTATCACATAAGAAAGACACACCCCCTTTCTCGACATCCTATAGAACTACTGTAGATACGTGACCACGTGTCTCATTGTGCACCAACTGTGACCGCAACCGAAGGTCCTTGCCCTTCATCAATGAGTTGGGGTACAGAAACCTGAGTCAACCGATCGTCATCCGCAGTGCAAACCATGTACCAGGGCCAGCTTTTCCCGGCATCCTTGCCATCTGCGCCCCTCCCAAAAGCTAGAAATTCCCTCCCCCACACGGCAATGAACGGATTTCCGGTTGCTGCTCACCTTCGAACGTCCGTACTTGGTCCCAACCCGGACACGAACACCTTCCGTGCGTCCGTGGTCACAGACTTGCACACAAAGAAGAACATAGACGAGACATAGGAGACAATCAAGATACCAAGAATCAAGCAAATCGACACGAACGCGATGCAAAATATATTTTTCAAAGCAGGAAAGGCAGAAAGAGAACGCATGAGAATATTAACCCCATCTCTGATTGAATCGTCCCTGGGTGGTTACTGGCATGCGTTCATACGTTTTGTGCACATAATTTATCCGTTTTCCAGTGCAGGATCGTACTTCCGCATCCACCCGCAGCTATGTCAACAATGGAAACTTCTGAAAACAACCACACCAACCTGCAGCAAAATATCGCTCCCTCGATCGAGCACACTTCCGACCCAACTCCACACAAACACACCCAAGTATTGGGTTGGCATGCAAACCTCGACTGCCTCAAACATGAAAAAACAAAATTGCCGCTCGTGCGCAAGGGAGTTTGTTAAGGCGAAGTCTTGCCTCCTGTATGTAGACGATGTCTTGTCTCCAATCCGTCTGGTGCAAATGAGGTTGCAGGTAGGGGACCCCATTTCCTCATTTTGATTTGTTCTCCGTGGAGGCTAGGGACACCGCAAGTGCAGAGAGACATGCCCCCATCCATGTGTATTTCGCTGCCAGACCAAGCGAGACACGGGCCACTCATTGCTGACCAAGGGAACCGCCGTTCAGACAATGAATCTGATAACGTCCTAGTCTAGCAAATTTCGGCCAACCGAGAAGGGCAATCGCGGTGCGCTGATGATAGCGATTGTCAATGCGGAGACGGGCCCGCAACCACACTCAAACCCTTCGCAGGACTTTTGTTTGGTCTCTCGTGTGGACTCCGCTTATTGTTCGGCTAGAGTAATCGGGGGGCGTGGTGGTTTCTTTTCTCATTCAGTAGCCCTGATGTGGCGCAGGCCAGGCGAGTGTACACAGCCTCGTCGGCTTTGTCGAAGAGTCGATTGACTCCGTACAGGATCCCCAGCATCTGCGCGTGAGCCGAAGACATTGTTGTGCACGATTTAGAGCAGGTTCGGCCTCCGGTTGACAACTCAACGACACTCGAGCTTTCGAGACCGAGACTTTTGTTTACCACTCAAAGAAGATGCTCGAGCCTCCGAGACCAAGACCTCGGCTGACAATTCAATGACTCTCGAGCCTTCGAGACCGAGACTTCGGTTTTCGACTCAAAGACACTCGAGCCTTCGAGACCAAGACCCCGGTGGCCACTTTCAGGATGCGACACGATTTTTCCTGCTGGCACGCGTTTTACGACACAAGCGCCAGCAGTGTATACACAGACGGCAGGCACGTGTGGCGATGTACGCGCTTGTGCACCACCGTCGTGAACTAACTTTGCCTGAAGAAATTATCGTACTCGACGACGGAACCTGATCTCACCAGCAAGAGTATCGTGAACTGGAGGCCGTGCGGCAGGTCGTTCCATATGCACCTGAACCCCGGCGGAAACTCGATCAGCCCTGCGTGGCACGGGTTCAAATCAACAACGGCACGGGACAAGGACTTCGTGAACCAATCCGTGAACCGTGAGGCGACAGAACTACGCGTGCTTGAAACAATACTTCAATATTTCGCTCAGTGTTTGCAATGAGAGCCAGGAGAAACAACTCGTGGGAGTTCCACCGGTCGCCCTCAGTTGTTGCCATGTAATCTGGGAAGTATCTGATGTTGGGGGCGTGGTCTCGAATCTAGGCGCAATCACATGAACTGGAATGGTTTCTCAAATCGATGTAAAAACACGGGTGAAACCGACTAATTCGCGTGTAATTGTGTGGGAGAATACAATATTGTCCTTCTGGTGTCCAGAAACAAGAATCAACTCAAACGCCGTCGAAGGGAAGACACAAACGAAGAAGGGTGGGGAACCTTCTGTTCATTCCTCGGGTATTACCCCGGCTGGTGCAACCTGAAAATATACAACAAAACAGCCTGCGAGAGTTCGCGTTCTTTGCCCCCTCCGAAGACTGGCAACACTTCATTGGCCCGTCTGTTGGCGCGGTCGATACGAATCAATCGAATGCCAACACGTGTTCGTTGCCGCTACACACGGGTCAGAGCTTCACCATGACCGCCATCCAGTAACTCTGCTCCTCAACTATCGTCGGTGTGGAAGCTTGCGACAACCGGCTCACATTTTCCTTCCACCAGGTCCACGTGGGCGACTGACACCAAGGCCAGCATAGCACGGCGGCCGCCAAGAGACCGACCGGCAGACGAACGAACCAAAGAGCGTGACGCCGCTTTTTTCCGAGACACTTGTCGGTTCTCGCGCTTCGAAGAGGTGTTGCAGGCTAGGTAGCGTTCCGATTGTTGCAAGCCTTGAATCGCGCTTGGTGGAGAGGAAACGGACCCCATGCAAGCCATCAGCACGCTCTCAACACCAACAACCCCGAGAAGCCACCACCGTAGGCATGGCGCCCACTCGAATTTCATTATCACACCTGGTGAGAGCAGGTTTTCGAGGGCCAGAGGCGTACGAACCAGTGACTGCTGGAGCTTTATCCGGCGATTAACTTACCGCAGCCTGTATTCCCCATGAGATAACCGCAGGCTGTATGGAAGCATGCCTCGAAGGGTCGACAACACGATGACACAAGTGTCGTCGTGGTGGTAGGGGACCTCATGCTTCGCGTGTGAGTTCTGGCACTTGAACAACCAAAAGCTTTGAAGGTTGTTCTTGTGGCATGTCACGTGCCACTACGTAGACCAAAGGAGTCTTGTAGGAGACGGTGAGACTGCGTGCATGGGGTCCACGGAGGAGGGTAAACTGGTAGCGATAAACGATGTAGATGGATTCCTCTTCAAGGCTTTGGAAACCAATGCTTGCAACAGATTGGTTTGTTAGACAACGACCATGAGGATGGGAGCTTGGCCTGCGCAGAACACGCTGACATGGAAAGGCGGTGGATAACTTTCATGGAAGCTCCACGAATAGACTCCCACGCAAGCTGTCAGATTTTGGTGCTGTGCATGTTTGGCGGCACTTCCACCGATAAGTCCTTGCACCAGGTTGAGAATGAGCCTCCTGCAAGTACTTCCTCCGTGGAGATGACGGAACCTTCCAAAACTCGCACACGTTTCCGCGTAGAGGCTTTTAGTTGCTCCCGTGGAAGCTTCCACCAAACCAAAGCGGGGAACACACGCAGCCAGTACAGCTAACTCCGTCTATTCTACACGAACTAGTTTTTGTGATGAGAACATTCACAACCTGCCGCATGCGGCACCACTGTAGGTACCGATTGTTGGAGCGAGCTGTCATGGGCTGTGGGTCTGCAAATGAAGCGTACAGAGTGCCGGCCTGTTCCTTGCAACAGTTCCTTTGAGCGAGCCCGAAAACCTTACGATGAGTCCCGGGGCACAGGTTCTTCTGTCGTATCCACCCGAGCCTCCTCGTTCCCTTCCATTGCTACACAGCCTGGAACATCTATTTGTTTTTGTCGTTCATGCTCATCATCTAGCCATTTTTTTTATTCCAGTCGTTGCCACCAAGAAGCGTCTTGAAGCCGACCGTAATTCTACATCAGTTGAAGTTTAGATTTGCGTAACCGCTGCTGGATACCCGGCATGTCGTTTTCCTCCGATTCTTGTGAACATACAGCAGTACACACGTGTAAACAACACACCCTTTCGCTTCAGGAAACTAAATAAAGGAGTTGGCGAGGTGTAAAGGAGCACACGCAGTTTTCATTTGTTTCGCGTATGAGCTGACCTACACACCACAGCAAGCAGCACACCCCACCACACAGGCGACACCACCGATGTTCTCATGTGTTCATCACATCACGCAAGTCCTTCCGTTTCTTTCCCCCTCCAAGCACAGAGCTGATATTTAGGTCATGCAGTGTCGAACAGAACCCAGGGAGAGATAGTTGATAGTCGTGGCTCGGAAGCGTGGTCTTTCCGATGCTTCACACTGTACATTGATTGCTGGAGATAATACGGTGGGTTGTACTTGGTGTGTAGAGGTACCCTCTGTCTATTCATGTGCCTCACAGCAGCGGCAGACAGCTGGCGGCAACTGCCTGTCACATCAAGTATTTTGGGCTTTATTGCTGATTCCTCCGCGTGCACTGTGCGAGAACACGGGGCAACCAACCACACTATTGCTCCGGGGTGCGCAATGCCCTGGACAGACCTATCGCTCCCGCGCGCACGGCTGTGACCCCTACCCTAGCAACAAGCTACAGCAGTGCCGTGTCCTTTTATAGGTTTAGGGCTACACATGGATACAGCAGAAATAAAACAATGAAGATCGTTCTCGTCTCAACAAACCTGTCAACCGGTCCGTTGTGATGGTGAAGTTTGCCCGAGGAAACCACCACCGCCGCCCCGCCCGGCTTGCTCCCGATGCTTGAACACAACCGCAGCAAAGACTTATGCGTATGATACCACGTAAATGATACCACGTAAATATATCACATGTTTGGCCTCGCAAAACCTGTCTCACCTCCTTTGGCATGCACCCGGCGAACAAGGCTGGCCATGGTCCACATCTGCCAACCAGAAAGAGGTGGGGTCACGGTAAAAGGCCAGCGGGATGCAAAACAACGATGTTTCCCTTCGTTTCTTCGGATCGACGCAGCAAACACGACGAACTCCACCATGCAACAAACTTTTCAGTCCAAGATACAGCCTCAGCGCAGATACATAGTTGTACGGAGAGTAGAAAGGGCACGCGTCCCGGACGGTGAGGGGTAAGCGAAAGCGCCTTTCATTCGTTTTCTCGCGAACATATCGTGTGCGGGAGGATACCAGAAACAAACACACGGGGACGAAGAGGCACAAACCCGACAGACACTCGAGGTTACGTTCTACACACTGCTGTACACAATTAATCGTCGTAGAAAAAGAGATCACTGCTGCTAAGGGTCGACCGGCATACCGGCAAACGCTGGTTTTATAGGGGTTCGTTGGGATGTGCTACAGTACCACCGCTGTCTGTGACGGACCCTGCCCGCTTCACCCGAACAAAAAACCGAAAATAAGGAGCGAAAAAACTAATAGGGGAAATGGAGTTCGCCTCTACGTACCTCTTGGCGCTACAGTATAATGTACGCCATCGCGAACTCACCGGGACGGGACTGTCGTCAACTGTTTGATTCAACACAGAGGGGGGTGGCGTACTCAGGGGCGACCAGATTGACGCCGTTCGGCGCGCCTTATTCTCTCTATCTCTGTTCTTTGTGGGCAACGGCACACTCAACGCTGCGCTGCCGCGACCTGTGGCTGCACCAAACGGCAAATTATTGGCAGGAATCTTCCTTCCAAGAGCAAATAAGAACATTCTTCTACATGTAGAACGTGCTCTCTCGAAGCAAATGATCTGCCGTTTCATGCAGTTTCATGCCTCCCGCCCTACTTTACCGATTCGAACCTTATGTAGGTGCCACAATATACTGCACACCGTGAACCTGAACCGATTACAACCTGAACCGATTTATTTCAAAGCCCGCCTCTACTCCACGAACAAGAGGGCGCGAAAACTCAATGGATGCTCGGAAACATCTCGACGTGAGATGTTTGTGCTCTGGAGTAATAATCGAGCTTTGAAAATCGGTCGAGTGTGGAGTGAAGTGGTATCTTATGCCACCTCCGGTCTTCACGTCGCTGGTTGTGTTGCCTGTAACGGTTCGAAGACGGCTGCTCGGAGACGCCACGCACGCGACATGAATGGTGCCTGCCTCCACACACCAAGACCGAAACTTACCGGCAAGAAGGGAGCAGAGCAGGGTACACGACAACGGGGTGGCAGGGCGACAGCAAAAACCGAGCTCCTACTGTATATGGATCATCGCAGATAACGATCGGAACCCCTTTACTGTGCGACACAACATACATACACAGGTATGGGTTAGACAAGGTAACGGATCGAGGCGGAACCACTCTAAAATGGAAACAGAGGAACACCGAAATGGCAGAACGATGCCGAGCACCAAGCACCAAGCACCTATTTACATGCTGTAGCACTCCTGTGTGTTCTAACCGTCGCGTTCCCCAGTTGCCCGGTTGTTTGTTCCCCGTTCAACTGGAACGAACGGCTACAGGCCACGACTCAACACATAAGGGAGCCGACCAGGAGGAAAATGTATGTACAATAGGTACTGTAGGTAAATAGGTAAATAGAGTACAGGATTATTTCCGGAGATCAGCAAGCAACAGCAACCCACAGACCACACACCCCAACTTCAACCTTCAACCACCAGGACGTTCGTTTCAACCATCCCAGTTCTTGTTGCCCTCTAATAGGTATGTAGATGAGAGGTTTGTCCGATTTATTTCCGAGAAGTTCCTACATGAGGCGTACGCACATCCACCCAAAGGCACATTCACGCACATCATCCATCTGATACGTACGATGCTGGTATGTGTGAGCAATGACGCTGGTCTAAGCAAACAATGTTGTTTCTCTTCGAGCGACAACTACTGTACTGCAGTCTACTACGTAGTATATCGAATATCACTGCTTCCTCTCTGTGCCTGCTGCGTGTTCTCTCCCAAGAAAAGTGGGCGAGCTGTACGTACGTACACATATTTCGGCGTCCAGCGTCCAGCGTCTTCTTCCGTGAGAAGCGGAGAGAACGACCCTGAGGAGGAAGGACAACACGACATTTGTACGGTACAGTACACCATCGAGGAAGTGTTGTCTGCTAAGGGGAGAGAGGAGGGACAAGAACGAGCGACACAGAGGCGGGGATAACGTGCGGGCCTTTTGAGTTATCTGCATAACGCTTTCTTCACGGCGTTGTTTGTAAGCGGCCTGTGGTAGGGCAGGTCGTCATTGTCGTTCCCACATCTTACACAGCCTCGTCGGGCTTGTTCGTGCGCAAACGCGCGTCCTTGTCCCGGCATCCCGAACGTCGGGTATGTAGTGCAGCCGGGCTCGGCGCACTCGTGGTTTACAAAGCAGGAGTGAGCCGAGCCCGGCTGCACCACGCAGCCGACGTTCGGGATTCTGGGACGAGGACCCACGTTTTGCGCATCGCATAAGCCCGAAGAGGCTGTGTAATACTTGCGTCAGAATGATTGTGTACGTGCGTGCCCTGATTTTTTCCCTCCCCCCTGCCCCCCCCGGTGCTTGCCATCGGGGTTGGGTTTTCGTCGCTTGGCAACGACGTTGTAAAACAAGCCAATTCACTTCGTGAACTCGGCAACCAGGTTACCGTTTTTTTTTTTTTTACCTCGTTTTTTTTTTTGGCGGTAACCATAATGGTGGTCGAGTAGATCATGTTGTGCGGGGTGGAGAAACCTCACTCCGCGCAACGGGGGATGATCGCACCACGTTGTGTTAAAATGGTCAAGCTTCCTCGAGGCAGTTACACAGTGCTTACAACTGTCTCTGGAAGTAAAAGCACCAGAAAATAAATTAAGTCATACGTAGCTGTCATCCGTACGCAAGGAAGTAAGCACAAGATGCCGAACACCCTTAGCAGGATGCAGCTCACCCTTCATGCGACTCGCCAAATACCTCACGGCGCTTCGCGCTTGGTGATGTGAGAGCCTGGTCCGGTGAGAACCCGGCGTGCTCCGTCCCGGCTTTGTAGGGATGCGAGGTCAATGGTCAAACGACTACGGCATGCACGACTATGAGTACACCCCCCCCCCCCCCCTTCCCGCATGAAATCCTGAGTGAATGTGCCTCGATTGCCTTCCTACCACTTATCCCGCTG